CCTGTACTGCTAGGAGACAGATTCCATAGGTTGAGAGTTCAACCACAAATTAGGGTGGAAGTGGGTATCCTTATAAAAAGAGAAATTTTTTGTGCTTTCTATATTAATACTTCTTCACTTAGGGCAGTTATGTTAGTTTAAGAGTTGTAAGATGTGCTTTATGAATTAAAAAAAAAATTAATTTCATTACAATGTGTATCAGTAACCATCCTCCAGTAAAACTAATGTTCAAATAACTGTTTCTCACTTTCATTCTCAATGACTGTAGTGTAGGGCGGCACCGCAAGAATTCCATCGGCATTGAAAGCAAGTTTTTGACTTGCCTAGATGGCTGAGTGGTCTAGCGTGCTGTTCCTGTACTGTTAGGAGACAGATTCTATAGGTCAAGAGTTCAGCCCTGGGTTGGGGCAGAAGTGGGTATCCTTATAAAAAGTGAATTTCCTTGTCAATGCTCTCTCTCTCTCTCTCTCTCTCTATATATATATATATATATATATATATCTATACTTATAAATTAATAAATTTTGCAAATAAACTCCGAAACGGGTGCACTAGAGTTCTTACTTACTCCCCTAACAATACACTAGATACAAGCTGATGTCCGTAAACTATATTTAGATTTCACTCGCATAGTAAGTATCGTACATTAAATTAAAAGTCTACTTTCATTTTCTATAAACAGCCATGAAATAGCTAAAGCGTGAGTACGATGGCGTTTCCGGTTGGCGGATCTAAGTTACTGGCAATTTTTAATGAAACTGACAACAAGCAGTCGTTTATTTATTACATAAAACGTCATCACTGAATTATTCAATCAATACTCGATTTAAATGATATAAAAGAAATAAATTGTGATAACCGATTAAAAAGGGAAATGTGCAAAATATTTTCATCATTCACCGATCTTTATATTGACGGAAGCTTCTAGAACATCTTATAGCATCGAGCCCGATGTTAAGAAAAAAAACGAGGCGATTATGGCTACATGACCATAAAAAAGGCTTTTGTGTAAATCGTCATAATTGAAATGATGGTAAATCACTGATAACACTATAAGTTGTGAATATAATTATATATCGAAAGACTATTACATGTACATGTATGTAGTAGGTTTTCCTAATAAATTTATCGGTAAAATTTGTATATATTCCTTACTAAGAGCATCATGGCAACGACCCCGAAGTACAATCTGTACTTCGTAATAAACTTGCTTACATGAGAAGAGAAAATTAATGAATAAGGTATTGTTCAAATACAATTAAAGATGTAAAATTTTGCGCTTTAATCAATGCACAGTTCATTTCTGAATACAATCTTTTATAGCTACAATAATGTAGCCCTCTTCTTTTTTGAGGGGGGGGGGGGGGGGGGGGGCAGAAAATATCAGATCAAAAAAAAAAAAAAAAAGATCGGAGAGGGCTACATTATTGCAGCTTAGTCTTTTGTATCAAATACTCAGCCTATTCATAGGGGTTAAAAGCTAATTTTTACACAGGTACTTGGTTCTTGGTTTATAAATATGTATGTACCTTATTGATAGGTAAAAAAGTAAAGTACATTTTTACATATCAATAAGGTACAAACATATTTATAAACCAAGACCCAAGTACCTGTGAATTTTTACCCCCCCCCCTCCCCCCCCCCATCAATTTATTAGTAAAATGTGCATATTCGTTGCTTTTATCCTTGACGGAAATGAAATAAGAGCATCTGAAGTACGTACAATATCCATAACATAGTATAACAGGTTTCACAATAAACGTCAATTAATGAAATTTCTATTTTTCAAGTTTAAAAAAAAAAAAACAAATAAAACAAACACAAAAAACGGGGTGGGGGGGGGATAGGTAAATCTACTTCATGTGGGATTTTGAACAAAGTATTTGTTCCTGCTATAAGCCTGTAGGCTGTCAGTAGAGAACTACAATATATTTTCTGTTGGTAGTGGTATAAATTCAAGTCCCCGCGCTTGCGCGGGATTTCATCTAGTATATATATATATATATATATACACCGTATAAGTTGAATTTTTAGTGAGATGCAAATTTAGCGATTTTTCCTGAAATATCCATATTTAATTTTATAGCCAGAAGTAATTTTATTGATTTTATGATGCCTTTCTTGAAAGGTAAGAGTAACCTCAAAAGTAAGAATAAATTGTTAGTGATATATAATTTTAGTGATCTCAACACCCTCGCTAAAAATACCAAAATTGGATCCTCACTAAAATTTCTGCTTTTATATATATATATATATAGATAGATAGATAGATAGATAGATAGATACTGTAGATAGATAGATAGATAGATATATTATGTACAATACAATTTATTTAGTATCATACCGGTTTTATATCATGCCTCTTTTTTTACCATAGATTTTTTTTTCTTAAGAAATGGTTTTTAACAAAATTCCTTGTATTATTAGGTAAAAGTGTACACTTCGTTTGCTATAAAAGAACATTTTCATCACGAATATTTTTTCATGGCCCCAGATTTTCAAAGAATTAATGAATTTTCACAATGGAATTAATAGAGCCCAACCTTAACACCAGAACCCCTGACCCAGGGGCCATGAAATTCACAATTTTTAGGCCCCTTCACCCATAGATGCTATATGCCAAAATTGGTTTGGGAGTTCCAGAGAAAAAATTGAAAATGATCAGATTTTAATGCACGACGAACAACGCACGAAGACGAACAAAAAAATAGCAATAAAAATAATGCACTTTCACTATAAGATCTGTATTGCCTGACCCTATCAGCAGAATCCCTGACCCAGGGGCCATGAAATAAAACTACAAATTACAGAGAAAAGCTATTGAATATGAATTGCATATTTAGCTAGATTTTAGAGATAGGCTATAGAACACAGAGACAAAGATAAGAGACCAAGATATACTAGTTATATAATGGAACATGGAAATTAAGTTTTCCTGCGTCTGCTTGAAATCTTGTTTCATGGGTTGAGAGGAATGCTGTTTAACACTATATCATGCTGCCTACTAACTTGATATTGTTAATACAGTGCTCCCTCGGTATATTGCCAACTTTTGTCCAAGACAAATTTTGGCATTAAAGCGAGGGTGGCAATATAACGAGTTCTGTCATAAATTACAATGCAATAAGCCCAGTTCAAGATGAATACGTAATTCATTTTAGTTAAAATCAAATGTCATGCTTTTGCGCGTGTGTACATACATATACACTCAAGCGCAACTTTCATTTCTTCCGGAAAAAAGTCATTAATGTATTTGTTTTTAAAATGAAATGAAAATGTCACAATATTACAACATTTTTCAATTTCCCGCTCATTCGCTCTTCTGTTGATCCTGGGTCGAAGAATTTAACAACCCGATGATAACGATGATAACGGTGTCAATAGCAGTTATAGTCTCTCGGTATACAAAAGTTTTTGAGGTTTATCGTCAATATCATCTGAATCAGAAGTAGATTATTTCACCATCTCAATAATACTAGATCAGTTAAAAAAGTTCGGTAACAGACAAATGGAAAGTCACGTGCCAGGGTACATGAATCTGTTGTAATATACACGTATTCTCATGTTTGCTAGTACCTGAGTACTTTCTCTTCCTATTCTGTTTTGATATTCATCAATCAATCCATTAGGTGTCCAACAATTGATGACTGTTTCAGGGGTAACGGAATCCCATGCTATTTTCACGTGCGGAATTATAGTAGTCTAAAAATAGAGATGGAATTTAGAATTTGGTTTTTTTATATATGGGGAATAAAATGATTTTTTCATTTATTATGGCCTGGTCCGGTGAAAGCAACAATCGGCGATTTACAGTTAAATAAAATGTACAATTATTTGTTTGGGTTTATTTTAAATTTTCGTTTGTAATCTAAATTTGTACGCTTTCTCTTCCCTGACTTTCCCATTATTGTGATGAAATAATACTTCAATCTTATAAAAACAACACAAAAGAAATTGCTAATTTTGAGTTTTATAAAACGATTATCTTTAATTTAGCTGAACTCCTTGTTCAGCCAGTCACGCTTCACTGTCAAAGCACGGGTGTGACGTCCAAATTACCGACGCGCGCTAGATAATTGGCATTGTTACCGAGGGTTTTCCTTATATAATTTGACCTTTTGTTTCCCCAAACAAGTGGCGGATGGCATTAAGCGGGGGTGGCAATATAACGGGTGTATTAACACAGGGGGAAATCCGTTCTTGGAGAATTCCTGGCATTAAGCGGGGGTGGCAATATAACGGAGGGCAATATAGCGAGGTAGCACTGTATACTGTAAATGTATTTTATTTGGCACGTACGATAGTTGTCGGAAATTGACTTTTCAGCAAGTTAGCGTACTAGATTTGATTTAGTGCTTTCTGGATGTGCTTTATATGAATATATATACACATGGCAGTTAGCGATGTACTTGATTTAGCAAAGGGTGCTTTCTGCAAAAGGCGCAAAATAGAATGCATAGCCAAATGTAATACTTTTACAGTACCCCGGTCCACGTGCCATAGTAACCAAATATCAAATTCCATAAATTATGTGGTTTTCAGTTGGCCTTGCATGGAGCCTAATAAATGATGACATGTAAGCATCAGACGATGTCACAATGTGAACATTTCTTATGGAATGGTTTATTTAACTCCGAGAAAATAAACTTTATTAAAAAATTATTGACAGGATAATTTCATTATGTAGACACTTATAGGGGTTATTTGGAAATAAATGGGTCCTTGAAAAAATGTACATTGGGCAAAGCTTACACTTCACCAAATATTTTTTCAAGAACCCCTTATATTTCTGTATTACCCCTCCAAATGTCTACATAAATAATAATGGCTGACACAGACTTTTGAAAACTAATACACATATAAAGCGCATACGATACAGATTTACAGATTATTGATTACAGAATTGAAATACTTTTAAGAATTAGTTATAGATTACATACATAAAGCATCTTCATGAGTCTTCAGGATTAGATTAATGGAACTGCCTATTCACATTTTAGGTGGTTTTCATATGGAGTGAATCAGTGCACTGGGAAGGAGGACTGGTTATATAAAGAAGATTACTGGAAGAGAGACTGGTCCAAATGTCCAGATATTTTTTGAAACCAGCTGAAGAGGTCATGAATGTAACTTTTATGAAATTGAGCAATGTGAAAGTATGTATCAGATGGCCATCACTGTGAACTCTCTGTATTAGTCACTAGTCACTAAATTACTGATGTCCAACAGACTTTTCATATTATATCAATACACATTATTGATAGTTTAGTTTGGAAGATGAAGCAAATGTAATATATCACACTACCTTTCAATAAGACTGTTCCACTGTTTTAAAACATCTATCAATTACTCTATGATTATTAATCTATCAAAGTTACTGCAAACATAGCACCTTATTAAGAAATAAATTTTTACTGCAATTTTATTTCAAAATAGTATGTTCTTAATTGTCCTGACGCCTGTACAATATGGATTTGAAGAGAAGATGAAGGAATACTAGATACTGTCATAAGACAGTATGTAATACCCGCACTAAGGTGTACTAGATACTGTCATAAGACAGTGTGTGATACCCGCACTAAGGTGTACTAGATACTGTCATAAGACAGTGTGTAATACCCGCACTAAGGTGTACTAGATACTGTCATAAGACAGTATGTAATACCCGCACTAAGGTGTACTAGATACTGTCATAAGACAGTATGTAATACCCGCACTAAGGTGTTTGTCTCCAAATGCACTCTCCTTCATGATTGGGTAACCAGGGAAGAATCCAAAATAATTCTATAATTTAAATCAAGCATAAAATGCTCAGGTGAACATGTGGCCATCTACCAAATTCATTACCAGTCTGATATTACAGAATATGATGTAAATTCTGTTTAACAGAAAATTTTTGAAAGAAGATTTTTGTTAAAAAAAAAAAAAAAAAAAAAAAGAGAGGGGGGGGGGGATTTTTGGCTCATGTTTGGAATTTGTTGAATCTATATTGTCAAAACAACAAATATGTGCATATCATTTTTGATAAACTTTTAAAATTTAGATGCCAAAATGACCACTTCTGGAAATGATCGAATTGTGCAAATTTTTTTTCAGTATATGGGTCGGAAAAGCACCCTTTCCGAACCCACACCCGATCAACTACATGTACATCAAAAATCAACCCGGCCACCCACAATTCGTCTGTTTTCCTGTCATATTTAGAATAGATAACCCAATGTTATGTAAAAAAAAAAAAAAAAAAAAAAAAAAAAAACATATCAATGTAATTTTGATAAAAATTTTATACATTACACCTTCTTGGAAAATTTCTGCATCTGGCGTTGGAATTACGTCACTCTGCGAGCACTACTTTTACCGTTATCATAATTTGGTTGCACATACATCATTATTCTCATGATTCTTAATGTGTTTTAAAGAGGCTGGGGGGTTGTGGCCATTTTTAGACTATATTGATCTCCTTTAGAAGAAGAGCTCCATATGAAGATATAGAAAATGATCAAATTTTAAAACTAAAATTTTTGAAATTTTTCTTTGCCAAATGATAGTTGACAGCTTAAGATATCATGTCTAAAAAATTAAGTTAAATCTGGTGGTTAATTTGTGGTTAATTTGTTGAACCCCCCCCCCCCCCCAGCCTCCTTAAATGGATTATATTATGAAGTTTACAGTACCTACAACAGGCGGTAAGTACATGTATGTTATGATTATATATTTAAGGTTTAGACCTGTATAGAATGGGGTAAAATAAGCTGGAGTGCAAATGGTTTGAAAAGAGTCAAAGATCATTTGTTGCCACATGCATTGAAGCACGTCCCTGAGGTCATTCCTAATCTCTGGAACTGGAATTAATCAAATAGCTTTCATTATCCCCTCGCGCAACTAGTTGCGGAGGGGATATAGCATCGCTGCTGTGCGTATGTGTGTGTGTTAGTGTGTTAGTGTGTCTGTTACAGCTTGTGGGCAAGATTTAAAGAGAACCTTTGCATTATCATTTCTCAGTCTTCACACACTTATGTGGCATTGTAAAAGGACTAACCCTATTCATTTTCAAGTTAATCGGTGATGTAGTTCTTAAAATATCGTGTTTTTAATAACTTCAAACCCTGCAATTTTATGTACGAGTTGACAATACTCACTTCCGGTAAATTAAACAGGTTAAAATTCGGGTCGTTTCGATAGAGCCGCTTCGGTAAGTTCTACATTGTAATATTATTGTGTATCTTGAGAAAAGTTTGTGTGAATTAAAAGTGTCATCTCTGTCACTGAGTAACTGAAATAATTTGATGAACGTCGCGGTTTCAATGCACTACACGTGTGTGTGTTTACAATAGGGGCCTGTGGAATTTAATCTTGAGGTGCACATAATTCTTGAAAGCTATAAATATAAAGTTTCACAAGTTTCATTGACATCTCAACACCGGTATATTGTCATTTTTCACTACAAAAAAAAAAATTACTTCCGTGCGTATTTTCAGATTTGATGCCTATTGCATGCTACTCAGGTATAGGTAAATCAGTGAAATTTACAGCATACGTGATATGTTTCTGCTAGGAATAAGGGAAACTGCCCAACCATGTATGCTTGTTATGACCGGCACGTCGATTTACCCAAATGGAACCCAAATGGACCCAAATGGAAATCAAACGGACCCAAATGGAAACCAAATGGAATATTAAATATATATCATCGTATTATCAAGTTGTTACTTATTTAAAATGATGAAAATAATGAACTTACAAATGGAGAATATTAATTATTCATTTCTAATATTGTAGTTTAAAATACGAATTAATTTTCTATAGTATTCTATGAAATGCTTCCATTTTGTATTCAATGATATGCAAAAGTTATTTCAAATAGAAAAAAAAAATAATTGGTATTTTAAGATACAATATTAGAAATGAATAATTAATATTTTCCATTTGCAAGTTTATTATTTTCATCATTTTAAATAAGTAACAACTTGGGAATACGATAATCTATATTTAAATATTCCATTTTGGTCCATTTGATTTCCATTTGGGTCCATTTGTGTTTCCATTTGGGTAAATCGATGCACCCTGTTATGACACCCCCCCCCCCCCCACCCCCGATGATATCCACCTTGACTTTTGTTAAAATTTAATCAGTGTTGCAATACATTTTAATTTCTTTACCTTATTTTAAACTTTATATATACAGTATAGTAATACAGGGTACCCTTGATTACTAGGCCTAGATGATTGTATCTTGTTTTACTTCCCTCTTGAGAATTTTTTTCTCGTATGGAGACATTGCCATTACCGGTGAAGTTCCTGGCGCGAGGGGATGCCCCGCTTAGCGGTGCTCTTGTTAAATCAAAAGCCCCATGAGCCATCTTAGTTTGTATTATGACACATTAAATAGTATATGGGGTCATGACCCCAGAAGTCATCCCCACCCCTGAAACTTCAAATGATTATATATATATATATATATATATATATATATATATATATCTGCATGGTCAAAATAATAAATGTTGAAAACTCCTACAGTTTGTGAATATTAACCCCTTTTTCCACTTGTCGTCTTCAATTAATGACCTCACTAGTGACAACATACATGTTTATTATCTCCCTTGAATCAGGAATGGTGATACAAATATTTTTAGAATAGTTAAGGATTTAACAGGTATTGCACAACCTCTTAAGAGGGCTGGGTGGTTGTGGCCATTTTCAGACCATATTGATCTCCTTTAGAAGAAGAGCTCCATATAAAGATATACAAAAATGAGCAAATTTTAAAACTAAAATGTATGAAATTTTTCTTTGCCAAATCATAGTTGACAGCTTAAGATATCATATCTAAAAAATAAAGTTATATCTGATGGTTAATTTGTTGACCCCCCAGCCTCCTTAAAATTGATTAAGCTCTGTAGTTGAATTATACCAGTATAGCTTGATTTTGCTATTCAAAACACCTTGATTAAGCTATTTAATCATACTTTTTCCCAAAAATGTGCAGTTTTATTAACATGGATATAACTCACACTATGTTGACATGGTATAAATTCTAAATTTTCAGATTTAAGCTGTTCTGAAAACAACACATGAAAAAAATTTGATTTTCCTTCTGAGCTTTTGCGATCAAGAGTTTATTAAGTATTGTATATAAGATTATATACCTGGGGTAATATCTCTCTCTCTCTCTCTCTCTCTCTCTCTCTCTCTCTCTCTCTCTGACATCTTCTTGGGCCAAAAATTGAAATGGAATTATATGTGAAGTTTTTTAAATTGATTGACTTTACTAATGTTTACACTAATTTACTCATACTGCAGCTAGAATATCTCTTCCAGAAATATAAAAAAATAAGTTCACTCACTATCTTGTCTTTGATCTATATCTAATTACAAAAGGACACAGCCCAAAGTTTTCTCATGGTTTGTTACAAATTTCACATGGAACTCCTATTTTTCAAGATCATGCAAGTTTCTGGCTTATAACCATTAGAATTAAAAAACTCGACAGTCCTCATGTTTTGAGTAGGCAGATATAGTCTAAATTGTTGAAAAGTACTCACTGTGAACAATCACCTGACTTGTTGAAGACAGGTAAACATATCCCTCAGGGTATAATTATCATACATAGGCCCATACAAAATTGAACAGTTAGGATTAAATCATCATTATCTTAGTTAATTTAATAACAAGAAACACACTAGAGGTGTGATGAAATATTTAGAAACCTAAAGAGTTTTATTTCTCATGTTAAATATTTTTTCTTGTTTAAAACAATTGTTCACAAATGAAGGGTCAAACCCTCTTTTAAGGGATAAGAATGAGTGAAAATTTAGTGGTATTTCAAAAATTTTCTTCTCAAGAACCACTGGTCCAGAAAAGTTTAAAATTATGTGAAACTTCATTAGTAAGTAGATTCAACTTTGTCGAAATCATAACCTTCAGGGGTAGGGGGACACAATAGGGGATCAAAGTTTTGTAAATATGGGAATGTACAGTAAAATACTCTTATATCTAAGTGCCTGGGACGGACAATTTTGTTTTGATATAAGTGTATATATCAATTAAGTTTACAATATATTTTAAAGTTATGAGGAATGAAATTTGCTTCGCTGTAAGCTTCAATTTATTATAAGCATGTTGGCTATAAGCATACTTTACTGTATAAGAAAAAAAATTTCAAAAATCATCTTCTCAAGAACTACTGGGCAAGAAAAATTGAATCTTATGTGACAGTTCCATTACATAATGTAGAAACAAAGAAGATGGGTGAACAAGGCGGGCGAAATGCCTATAGTGCGACAAACATGAAGTGAAAAATAAAATCTCAATTATATCAAAATTTTTGTTGATATTTCATCTAACATTAAAGTATATTTTATGTAAAATCTCTACAATTTACAAAAGTCTCACAAAGACTGAAATTATTTGCCTACAAAATAG